GCCTACACTTGTGATGATCGAAGATTCCCTGCCTCGGGAAGATGGAAGAATCCCACCAACTTCTCTCCACCATCACCGCCACCACAAATATTCATTTTCGCTATTTCTACATTCGCCTCTTCCATACATTTCTCTCCTCCTCCTCCCCACCATCACCGCCACCACCAAACACACCTCCCCTCAGCCACCAACCCCAACCCATCCGACATCTCTCTCTCTCCTTCTTTCCACGAAGCTCCGGCCTTCCCCAATGGGGGCACCTGCCCCTCCATCTCCTCCTCCGGCGGCGCAAACACCACCATCCACATCGCCATGACCCTGGACTTACGCCAACTACTACCTCCGCGGTACGGTACTATGAGATTAATGACCAGAATTAGGGGAAACAATTTCTACCTAATCACACTTGACAAACTAATCAATCGACACAGCTTAAGGGCAACAATTTCTTCTCCGATCCAGAAATTTAGGAAGAAACGTAGATGTAATTCAATTACAATTTCACAAACATTATTATCTACAGAGTCAGAAACATAATAGACAAATTTTCAACAACGAGTCGATTTACAAAATCCTCCATGAACGATCTCACAGCCCCAACAAATTTTAACGAAAATTACTAAAAAAAAGTAACAATCTCCGTAATTTTAACCAAATTACTGAACATCAGCAGCCGTCCGAAACGAAATTTATGTATGTATGTATGTAATTATATATCAGAAGTTGAAGAAGAAACTTACCGACAAATTTGAAGCCGTGAGTACAAAAATCCCCTATTCCTCCTTCTTCACCCCCCGAATTAATCCAGCCTTAATCACGTATGTAGGAGTTCCAGTAGCCAAAATAGCACGCGCCGCTTCTTCTTCCTCCGGCAATTTCTTCTTCTTCTTCTTCTTCTTCTTCTCTCCAAGGTTGGGAGATTTTTTAGGTTTTGGCGGCCAAGCGAGTGATGGATACACTGGTTTCTTTTCTCCCATTTTCACGTATTTCTGTAGGGTTACTTTTCGAATTTGTGGTATATTGTGCTCTGGTTTCGAGAGATCTAACAGAACTTTCGCTAAGGCCTCAAACCATTGGTTTGGTCGTTCCGACATTTTCCCTCACTAGTTTCTCTCACTACTTCCAGAAGAAAGGGTTTGAAATGAAATAAACGATGATGTTAGAGCTTGGCGCGGGAAGACTTTATCTGGGTCGTGGTTTTATCATTTTATTTTTAGAAACTATTACTTCATTAATTGTTAATATATTATTAGTAGGGGTATTAGATTGTAATAGGATTTCGGTAATCCACCCATTTTGGAATCAAATTTTCCATCCCGAATTTCGAAACTTCCGATTTTTCCTACTTTTTTCGAATTTTTCTAAACGGATAGTGGAATATAAAATAGATTTCAATTTTTTTATCCGATTTGATTTAAAAAAAAAAATTATAAGTGACTAAAAATGATGAAATATTCGAATTTCGTCAATTTCGATTCTCACTATCACAAGTTTTTTTGGAATGAAATTTGTTTTTTTTTTAAGTGCTCATTTCGATCAAATATGTCCGGTTTCCATGTATTTCGATTTTTTCTTAGATTTCGATTTTTTAAAGTGATGCATTTATTAATATAATTTAATTGAATGTGAGGGTAATTTATGGATTTTGTTTATTATCTTGTCTAGGAGTGTAAACGAGCCGAGCATGGCTGCTTTGGCGAGCTCGAGCTCGTATTCATTTTGACGAACTCTTCGGATTGTTATTCTGAGCTCGAGCTCGACCTTGAGCCATTTTGTGTATTTTATTTTTATTTTTTATTGATATTATTAGAAATTTATTATTATAAATTATAAATTATAATAAAAATTTCGAAATAAAAAAGACATGTAATTTATTTTTTAATTATTTAAATGAATTTATTATTTATTTTATATTAATTATATTTCAAATAAAAATAAATAAATAACTCACGAATAATTAAAAATTAGCTCGAAAAATTCGAGTTCGAGTTCGAACTTTTGTCGAGCCGATTCGGCTCATTTACACTCTAATCTAGACATAAAAATGTAAAATTGGCGTGTCAATATTAATTCTCTATGGTTTATATTTAGATTATTTCATTTAACTTTTCAAGTCGAATATAAAAGACCATAACACTCTCAAATATATTTTATGTGTTATTTCGATTTCTTTCCCCCTAAACTGGAAACGCCTTGTTCGATGTTATCTTGGTTTATTTTCACTAATGCAATTGCCACTCCAAAATCATTAAATCAAAAAAAAAATATCGTACAATATTTATACTTCAATATCTTTCGAATGGTCAAGCTAAATCACAAGAAAAAATCGTATAACGTAGCACATGTTTTTTGTGTTAAAACATCATTAAATACTTCAATTTTTTTTTACTTAAAAAATTTATTAAAAAATTTAAGAATACCGAAAATGTTTGTCCATAAATATTATATAAATAATTATTCTAAAAATTGTTTTATCTTGGTCTTTATGCCTTCTAGGGTATTTTGGTCCTTTGCAACCCAACGGTAGCTTTTTTTGAATTCAGGCTGGGCTGAATTTTTGTAGTAAGGTCCAAGTCATCAGAATTTTTCGGCCCAAAAAATTCAAAGGCTATATATCAGCCATTGAGACTGATGGTGGTGCACTTGGCTGCACCGGATCCGCCCTCAGAGTCACTCCTACCTCCACGTAAGATCGGTCTCATGTAGCTTATCTGAGACCGTCAGATCAAGTGGTTTGCTTCCGATCCTGCTTCTCAACCGCTGCATCAATGGATGAGCTGGGAATCAGAACCGAGTCAGAGCTTTACTAGTAGCCGGTGGGTGGAAATATCCGAGTCCAACTCGGCCAGCATAGTCACCGGTGAGGGTTGTCTAATATTAATCAGGATTATTTTGATAAGAAATGATGAGCTTATGTCAAAATCAATAATAATTAAAGTAAATATATCTTATATATAAAAGAAAGAAAAAAACGCTGGACAACCCTAAAAAACCCTAATGGTATTTCTGTAATTATTTATTTTTAATATTTTTTCTCTACTAATTTCTATCTATAAGTTTTAACAACTATCAAAATTAAAACTAAACCGTAAAAAATCCTACCTTATTGCTACTTATGTAATTATTTATTTTTAATATTTTTTCTGTACTAATTTTTTAACTATAATTTTCTACAATTATTGATCCCCTAATTTTCATTAATATATCTCAAATCTTAAGAGATAAAGATAGAAATTCAATATGAATAATACTACATTATTAAATTTTATTATATTAGTGTACTATATTTTCTTACTATGTATTAAATTGATTAGTTTTTTCACTATTAAATAATATCCCGTGCATCGCACGTGCATCGGACGTGCATCGCACGGGAGAAAATGCTAGTTTATATAATTGAAAGAAATAAAAAAAAAAAAATTGTACTAGAAAAATAAATACTAAGCTGTTCCAGCATTGAATTACAAATTAAAATTAGTGATTATTTCTCGGAATTTTCCACCAGGTGGTACAAGGACGACATCGTTCCACTTCGAAATTGTGCAATCCTACCAAAATAAATATTTATAAATAAAGAATAAAATAAAATAAAAATAAATTACGTAATTACAATTCCAGAGTTTCCTCACCTTCATTTCTTGTATTATAACTTCAAGAGCAGTCACCTTCAACACCGTGTAAATATTTTGTTAGTACATAATATCTAAAGAGGATATTCGTAATTTTGCAACTTTCAAAAGAAAAAAAGAACCAAGCTTAGAACCTGTATAATCTCTGAGTCTGTATCTCGTTTTTTGTCGCGTAGTGCTTTTTCTAGGTCCGCCTACACAATACACAAGGAAAAAAGATGATCATGATATAGTAATACAAATACGAAAATATATTTACCGGACTAGAAAAAATATTTACTCTACCTTTGTGAAAAAAGCAGGCCTTAGGTTACTTGAGCTTCCATCGGCTTTCGTATTTAAAGCATCGGACTGCATCCCATATAAAACATTTAATTGTTACAAACGTGTTTTTCGTGCATATACGTTCATCAAGAATCATAATTATTAATACGAAGTTTTATCAACAATATAAAATCCAAACATATATAGCAATATATGAATAGAATCACTAGATTCAAAAGACACTTAACTGAACCTGAAAGACGGGAACCCCGGAAAAGTTATCACTATGAAAACCAGCTTTCTTTCGTTCCTGTAGAAAATAACACAAATGAAATCCATCTTAATTAGTTATCAACCAAATTCAGGCAGAAACGATAAAATGTAATAGTTTTAATTTGGTCGTCACCTTAAGAGCGTTTTTAACTTCAGACATATCTGGAACCAACCTAATATACATATGTCGATCGGTAACCGCATCTCTGACATACCCGGTGAACTTATCAGGCGCAACGCTAGGAAGAACATCTTCGATAAACCAAGTACAAATAGACGGCATCTCCTTATGAAACCCTGCTTCCTCAAGTTCGATAATCTGTGCGCGTGAGTTACAATTACAGATATATATTTAGTAGTGTTACAAGTCTTGAAATTTTAAAGAACAATATAATTTACCAAAACAATAAAAAAAATTGTTTTTCGATTAATTACCTCGGCAAGTGGAACCTTAGTGAGTTGAATGTTGCCTAGGCACTCATTGGCTTTTACGGTGTTCTGTACCGTCGCGTAATCGTGAGCATCTGCTTTACTGAAAAAGAAGAAGTTAGCTTTTCTGTCGCCTACAATGTCGGATTTTAGAAAGGGAACCTGATCGTGACCGGATTTCATCCTATAAACTGGAACATTTTTCAGTTGCTGTTTTATCAACAATAGATTTTTCGAAGAAGAATCAATTTTCGTGTTATCGAATTGATCGACATTTCTTGCCACAGATAGAGCTGGTGTTGAAGAACACGAGTTCGGGTTCGGGATAGGGATCCGGAGAAAATTGGTGATGTTGGTTCGGAGATTACTCAATACATGATCAAGGGGGTTCTTCTTCTCTTCATTGGACATGGCTTTTTGTTTCTTAATAGCTAGGGTTCCAATGATTTTGGTTTCAAGAAACAATAACGATACTTTATATATATATATATATATATATATATTATAATTAACTTCCAAACTGATAAGAGTCCATATTCAACACAAGGTAGAATCTTACCATGCATCTATAATTTGGCCGTCTTTCCAACCTTAATAATGACACTCCCCACACATATATATATATATATATATATATATATATATATATATATATATATATATATATATATATATATATATATATATATATATATATATTTGCAAAATAACAGATCTTACGTTTGAGAAGAAAGATGGATTGGTTGAAGGCAAAAGAGCCATGTTCGCAACCTTCTCCTCTTTCCAATGCGTTGAACAGTCTCCAAATACACTTGTCACACATTATTCGAGCAATCCCAATCCGAAACCGGTTTGCTTCTGTTTCTCCGTCTGCAGATAATAGTCAACCAACAATTGGTGGTTGTGCTGATTACACACTCACTGCGGATGAAATCAAGAAGCGAGTAGCTGGGGTCTCTGTATATAAACTGTCAAACGATTCACAAGATAAATTATGTGGGGTTTCTGAATATGGGGATAGAGCGATTCAGTTTTACTTTTTAAATAAGCCCGATGCTCTCGATTTTATGGACAGAGTTCAATGCTCGTCCAACACTCGAATCTTTGATGCTCCACTTACAGAGGTAAAACTACACCACTACACCTTATTGAATCATTAGAAATTTTGCTAATTCTCATTATTTGAATTATAGGTCGTCGATTTTGACGGCGAAAACTATCGCCCCATAAGGTTGATACCAGAGTTATCCGAAGTCAAAAACGCCATACAGGTGTGGGATCACTTCTGCTATTAGTAATAAATATTTTATTTTGATTTTGCATTTTTTTTCTTAATATCAAATATAACTATGTAGGAAAAGAAGAAACATATTGCGGGTTTTCCAAATGGGACATTTGCTGGAGTTCCAGTTTTCCAGGTTCTACTTTTCAAGCTTATCGAAAAAAATAGATCGAAAGTCACATCCTAGCGACCTCGTGTTTTATGGTTTAATACTAGTTCATGAATTGCTTCTTATGTGTTGCAGTCAGATCGGTTAACAGTAAAAGGCAAGGGAGACACACGTAAATATCATCCTGCTTTTCTAAGGAAGGTAAGAGAAAGGGCAGAAACTATTACTTTACTTTCATTTTTTTAGTACATTGACATTCAATCTGTGTTGTGTTATAATGTATGCAGACGGACCTCGAAAAGGCTCTAGCTAATGCTAAAGCACCAAAGCAAAAGGGCATTATACAGGTTTTTTTTTTTCTTTATTTTTTTGGTGCCGGATACAATTGCTATGGCTAGCTACATTTCTGATATAATATACGTATTAATATGCCCATAATTAGGTTGCTGCTCTTGAAGATATAATACAAGAAATGAAGGTGACAAGGCTTTAAATCTCTAGTCGTTTATTGCATTTCCGTGCCTATCAAGTGTTCATTTGCAAATGTAATTTTGCAGGACTGCTCAACATCCAAGTCGAAGGATGTCGTTTTTGTAGCTCCTGGTAACAACATGAACATGGACATGGCTTTTGAAGAAAGATAACTAATCTAGGCTCGAGCTGCTAGTTCGATAAAGTTTCGAAGTTTTCAGTTTTTCGTTTCATAGAAATGTTTCCCCTTTCTACTTAACTACCAAACAGGATACACATGTCAAACAATTGAATTTTTCATTAGCTTCAACACTGGTAAGAATAACTCATTACCTATACTATAGAAAAGGGAACTGCATTTGTGTGTTGCATCAACAGCATGGCAGATTATACACCCGATTGGTTATTTGGATGCAATAAACGGGTGCAGACCAAGTGTTTGAAATATTGCCCAGAAGAAGCCATTTCAAAATAAAACAAAAAGCATCTGAAACATAGTAACATACTATATAAAATTAAAGAGAGCAAAAATTACCCAAACCCTAACTGGGGCAAACAATCGAGCAGGCATTCAATCAACTAAACACGTATTATCTTGGTTTTTGCTTTACCTGCAAAGTCTGGATACGAATTAATTGTGGTTGGACATAAGCGAAAATGTCTTTCGCCGAGAGAGAAGAAGCGCTCCTCCGTTGATGCATCTCATGGTTGTACTTCGTGCAGCTCGGGTGATACTCTCTATTCCTTCTTATTTTGCAGAGAGAGAAGAAGCAGTGCTCTATTCCTTCTTCTTCGGATGTTTATGGGCTTGGGCCTAGCTTGTTTCCCTATTTGACTTTCAGCCTTTTTTATGACTTAAATTAAATGAGGTCCATCAAATTAAATATTAATTAATGGAGCAATTAGTTAATAGTTTTTAAATAAATACTAATCACTAATCAGTTAGTAAAGTTTTGAGTTGTATTAAAGACCGCGAATCTTACCTGTTTTGCTAGCAAAATTAAGAAAGATTGCCATATTAGTCTTGTTCATTTAATTTGCAACCTTTATTTATACGTTGCTGAATAAAATAAAACGTGCTTTATCAAAAAAATATTTCCATAACTACAAAATGCATTTTTATAATAAACCATATGCCAAAGAACCAAGTATCTTGATGCCAAAAGGATTTGCTATCTATTTTGCCACATAGTTCCAAAATGCAGCTTTAATTACAAACCATATATGCCATATACCAAAAAGCGTTTGTCTATCTATTTTCCAACATAGTTTCGTGGAAATTGATGAGAATATACCAATATGAGCCCCTTTACAAAAAAGACGAAGCAGCAGATTTGTGATCCACTCGTCTCAAAAATATTTTGGTTAGTTTGTAAGATTCAATTAGGAACCATCTTTTTACCATAGCCAGATTCTAATATGTAGCCATTGATCAACAGAGTTCAAAAGTTGCATCTCCCTTCACCCATCTTCTTAACTTCATACCTACAAAGTTACATCACGAAAGAATTGTAAGTATGTCTTTAATTCGAATGTATGTATGCAAAAATGTCCTTGGGGCTGTTTGTGGAAGGAAAAGTAATTTAATTATGACCTTAATTAATTACCTTGGTATAAATTTTCGAACCTGTGGAAGATGCCCATCGAGAGTTACGTTGTCAGCATATTCTTGCACGTAGAGATTTCCCACAAGATAACCAGAAAGACTCGGGAAATATTCAGAATTCTTCGGTGCACCAAAATCATCATCCAAGATAGTGGGAGAGAGACAAGGGTCAAGATGGAGCCAAGTGTATACGTGATCACTCTGGTTACAGTTTTCGTCCGACATTTCTTTCGAATTCAAACCAATTAATGAACCATCAAGAATGTTAGGCATGCCGCCTCGAGAAACACAGTTTGTAGTATTAGAAATCTCAGGTTCATCGCACTCCACCTGTCAAATTAAAAGGATCGTCTATTAAAATAACACCAATATCTGCAGGACAAGATGAATTCTACAACTCACTCAAAGGTTCTTTACACCATACTAATATATACTAAAATTAGAAAATACCCAAATCCAGTAGTTTATCACCTCAAGACTACACCACTCAGAATCGGGCCAAGTTAACGGATCTAGGTTGCTTATTCCTGGAATTGTGCCCATGCATCTGCAGTAAGGAACACAAATACAGCAGAGGCCAAAGTGATGAAACGTACGAACGAGCTAATTAATCTAATAATCTGCTCTCAATCAAATAAAATTTCGAAGTATGCCTCCGTTTAGTAGATCTTCAGTTTCAAACATAATTTCGAAACCTCATACGTACCATTAACAGAGTTGTTACCATACACATCTTCTTTATAAAAATTGTTGAATTACAGGACAATGAAAATTATAAGATTTGGGTATTTCCTCCTTTGGTTTACATATTATGGCTAACAAATTAAATGCTAATTAAACCAAACAAAGGAATAGAGAATGTATATACAGATAAAATACCTAATAAACAGAGGCCAGTCACACCACCAACTCCTAGGGTTTCTCAAGAGTTTCGCCTTTGCATCTTCTAGTGAGAAGAAAAATACAAATTTCAGCCCATGAAGAAAAAATACAACAAGAATTAACAACAGAAATGCCCATGGAGAGAGAAAACACTAGAACAAAAACAAATATCTGAAAATCGGAGAAGAAACGCATACACATTTGATATTTCAAAAAAAAAAAAAAAAAAAAAATCAAAAAAAGCTTACCAAGTTTATGGTGGGTTTTAGTTGTTTGAACCCCTTCTTCTCCTTCGGCATGAACTGATCTAGCTTTCGAGGAATCTGTTGACGTCTTGGTATGTGATCTCTCCCCTTCAAGAGAACGCAGAAAACGATGTAGGTTGCTATAAACTGGCCGAAATCGCACATGGCTCTGCAAATGTTTTGGGTAAGTACACATACTAGTACGTGTAATTGTGTTCTTAGTGTGGGAGGGTTTTCTGCTTATATTTTTGACTTTTGAATATTTCGCATAATACCCTTAGAATTTCTTATTTCTTCTAGAGTGCCCCCTACAATTATAAGTAATGCATAATGTCGTCCTTGTTTGTACCACCCGGTCGAAAAATCACATTATTTCTTATCTAAATAACGTGTTGGCCGAGTTAGACTCGGATATTTCCACCCAGCTCTTACTCGGTTCAGGACGCTGACGGCTCCGATTCCCAACTCATTCAATGCTTCTTCCGAGGAAAACAACCGGAGAAAAAACCGATCAAGCAAAACCCCCAATCTTCATCAAAATTTTCAACATCAGCCTTCTCAAATTAAAAAATTCCCCCCTCCGTATGGATCTCTTCCACCACCGCAGGACTTCGACTGCGTTTGAAGAGGTCAACCCACGGAGTATTGGCCACTTTCCCAACATTTCCTGTACCAGAACTTCTTTGAGGTATTTTCTCGAACACATTGTTTGCATCATTTTCACCTTCTGCAGCTATTTCAGGTTGCGATCGATAACAGCTATTGGTGTGTGTGTGTGTGTGTGGATGACGGGATAGACCAAGCATACAAAAACATACATAGCAACAGTTTACTTTACAATATTGCAATTCTTGTATATCTCTGTATTGTCTTAATGCTGTCTCTTGGTGAGACTACATTGCTTGAGTTTCACAGTAACTCTGGATTAGAGTTCCTATATGTAAAGAGATATATCATGATTGTGCTTCCTAAGTAACTTTTGATGAAATAAATCAAAATCCTTCCCCCCTTGATGCGAAGAACGCATCAATTCCCACAATTGTTTGTCCTGCAGTTGTATTATCTTTTTAACTAGCTTGTGTTCATATATTTCTACGTTTTCGTCAGTTTCAGGTCTTATATCCAATATATGATATACTGATGAATGTAACTTGATTCTAGTATTTTTTGCTCTTTTTAAATATGCATAGTATGTTCCCATGGATCTTTGTTGCTTTAGTTTTATTTTGAAATGGCAATATCTCGACTGCCAATAACAGTAGAACTTATTTACTGATATTTTGGCATGCTAATATATGGCTACTTTTTTTACCGATTACCGAAACTAATGAGAAATTCAATCATTTTGATAGGGAAGGAGAACGTCTTGGTCTACAGCCATTGCATCCAACCAGTCGAGTGTGTAATACTCATCCACCATGCTGTTGATAGAACACACACATGTAGTTTCTTTTGATCAGGTAATAATGAAAAGAAGAATCATACTTTTCTTATTATATAAATTAATTCATTTTGCTCAACAAGTAATAAAAAGGCGGAAATAATTAATATTATTTGCATTCTATGAAACCAAAAAGCAGATAGCTATGAAACTCTATCTAACTAGCTAGTTTAGTTGTCCTTCTTCAAAAGCTATGTCCATGCCCGTGATGTTACCGGGAGGTACAAAAACGACATCATTCCACTTGGATGTTGAGCAATCCTGCAAAATATATATGACAATCAACACTTGATAGGCACGGAAATGCGATAAATGACTAGATATTTTAAAGCCTTGTCACCTTCATTTCTTGTATTATATCTTCGAGAGCAGCAACCTAGTTACGGGCACATGAATATATATATTTATCAGGATATTTAGTCGAGCCAAACGTGGCCATAGTAATAACAACATTATCAGAATTAAGAAAACCTGAACAGTGCCTCTTTGCTTTGGTGCTTTAGTCTTAGCTAGAGCCGTTTCAAGGTCCTTCTGCATTATTTATAAAACATATTGTATTATTGTAGAATATATAATATTAGAAAATGAAATTAGTATAGTTTGCGCCTTTCTTTTACCTCCTCAGAAAAGCAGACGATATTTTTGTGACTCTCCCTTGCCTTTTACTATCAACTTATCGGACTGCAACACGTGATAAACAATTTATGAACTAGTGAAACTAATATGAGGAGTGTTGTACAGGTTTTTCTTCATGTAAGTGCATCAATAAGTTTAAAAAGTTGAACCTGGAAAACTGGAACTCCAGCAAATGTACCGTCTGGAAAACCTGCCTTCTGTTTCTCTTTTTCCTGTGGGTAAGAAGCCAGCTCGTAGGTTATATCTGTTATTCGGAAATATATATATATTTAAAATCGTAAAAAGAATAATAGTAAAGAGTGAAATTTTTTATATGTTGGCAGAAGTCTCATACCTGAACAGCGTTTTTTACTTCCCATAAGTCCGGTACCAACCTGATGGGAAAGCTGTTGCTATAGAAATCAACGAACTATAATGCAAATGATAAGTGAATCAATAGCGGAAATTAGCAATTACACGATATACATCACAGCATGACCATATTCCTGTGTAATGATTTGACAACTTTTTACCTCTGTAAGTGGAGCATCAAAGATTCGAGTGTCAGGCGAGCATATAAATATATCCTTAAATCTGAGAGCATCAGGCTTATTTAAGAAGTAGAATTGAATCACCCTATCCCCATATTCAGAGGGCCGACATAATTCGTGTTGTGAATCGTTTGACAGTTTATATACAGAGACCCCAGCCATGCGTTTCTTGATTTCTGCGTCAGATAGTGCATAATCAGCACTATGTTGACTATTATCTGAAGAGGAAGCTGAAATAGAAGCAAACCGACTATTATCTGAAGAAGAAGCTGAAATAGAAGCAAACCGGTTTTCGACTTGAGAAGAAGAGAACCGGTTTTCGACTTGAGAAGAAGAGAACCGGTTTTCGACTTGAGAAGAAGAGAACCGGATTGAGATTGCTCGAATAACGTTGGAGAAGTGGGTTTGGAGACTGTTCAAGGCATTACAAAGTGGAGGAGGAGGTTGCGAAGATGGCTCTTTTGGCTTCAACCAATTCATCCTTCTTCTCTTTCTTCCCACAAAAAAAAACTGACTGGTTTGTGTTTCTACTTATATTTATACATATATTTATAATTGTGGTGGCTAATTACTAGGGTTTGGAAAGAACCAAAACAAGTAGGCGCAGAATCCCGTGGCATGATTCTACTTCTGTGGAATATGGACTCTTACATGGAAGGTACTTATTTTACCCTAGAAGATTCCAATTATGATATTTCCTACATATATATATGCTCGTAAGAGAAAGTATTATACTGAAATATTTGGTTACTGTCTCTTGAAACATCAAAATAAAATAATTGGAACCCTAGTTAAAAGCCATGAATTTCTTCGAACTAAAACAATCCTATGAAGAGAACCCCCTTCATCATGTATTCAGTAATCTCCACTTTCTTCGGATCCCTAACCCAAACCCAAACCCAAACCCAAACCCGTTTTCTTCCAAACTTCCATCACAGGAAAGAACTGTCGATCAATTAGATAACATGAAAATCGATTCTTCTTCTTCTTCTTCAAACTTGTCGGTGATCAAAGAGCGACTGAAAGAGGTTCCGGTTTATAGATTGAAATCAAATCGTAGGCTTTCACTTGTACGTTCTCACGTGACAGATAGGAGGGCTGGTTTATTCTTTTTCAGTGAAGCTGATGCTCAGGATTCAGCGGCGGATTACAACACAGTAGAATTCAACAGAAAGCGAGGTGGCCTTCAAACGCTTAAGGTTCCACTTGCCGAGGTATTGATTAATATTCCAGAAATTATTTTTATCAAATTTGTTCGATTTTCAAGACTTGTTTGTAACTATATAGTAAATATTGCATACATACACAGATTATTGAACTTGAAGAATTAGGGTTCAATAAGGCAATGCCATCTATATGTCATTGGTTTGTGGCAGAATTTTTACCCATGTATGCTCCAGCTATGGTTAATAGGTTTGTGGAAGATAAGGTTGCCGATCCACATGTTTATATTAGGTTGGTCCCGGATATATCTGAAGTTAAAAATGCCCTTCAGGTCAGCACCAAATATTCAACTACGAACATACAAATACGCACACACACACACACACAAGCACGCATGGCATGTTTCTGTTGAATTTGGTTGATAACTAAGATGGATTTTATTTTATTTATTCCCTACAGGAAAGAAAGAAAGCTGGTTTTCATGGTGACACCTTTACTGGGGTTCCCGTCTTCCAGGTTCAGTTTACTAAATGAGTCATTTGCTCTTTTATTCCATATTTTCCGTCACTTTTAAATTTTCGATACATTCTTATCTGAAATAGCTTTTAGATAATATCGTCGTATTCTAACCCTAGCTGAACATATATACACACACACACACACACACACACACAAAAAAAAAGGTTTAATAGTAATTGAGTCTCGTATATGATGGGATGCAGTCAGATGCTTTAAAGGTGAGAGTCGATGGAAGCCCAAATAACCTTTCGCATGCTTTCTTTCGAAAGGTAAATTAGTATATATATTCTAGTGCCATATGTATTTTCATATTTGTATTATATAATCGCCCATCTTCCTTTTATAATGTGCAGGCGGACCTAGAAAACGCTCTACGTGGCAAAAAACAAACAGATCACATTGATGAAAAATCAGATATTATTCAGGTTCCAAGTTCATCTCAATTAAAATGTTGCATGGGGTTTAATCTTAATACACCTATAATTAACGTAACTCATCATGTTTGAAAAGCTCTATCCACTAAATCTCGCTCGAGGTTTGATTGCGATTATAGACTAACTATAGTTACAATACACTGTGTTTGTGTTGTAGGTGACTGCTCTTGAAGATATAATACAAGAAATGAAGGTGAGAAAACTTTCGCTGTTTTTCTTTCCCTTTCTCTTCCATTCGACCGTCTAATTATGTATTTCATGAACAAGGTTATCTCATAGTAACTAAGCAAATTGAGCAAAAGTAATGATATATATTTTTTTACTTTGGCAGGATTGCTCAACGTCCAAGTGGAACAATGTTATCCTCGTACCTCCCGGTGGAAAATCCTCGTAAATTTTTATGTACAATTCAATACTGGAACAACTTAGTATATGTTTTTCTACTAATTTTATCTCAATATTGAATTGTTGGTGTTATGAGTTATTACATGAATTTATTTATCCCTCTTAATATTAAGTTTCAACTACAAGAATGAATTTGGACACGTGAAGTAGTAGTAATTTATACTATTTTTTTTTTTAGTAAATTCAAGTCCATTACAAGGGGTAGAGGGTAGTAGGGGAGGGTAGGGGTGAGCAAGTCGGACCCATCAACCCGCTACACCCGTCAAACCCGTGAAAAACCGCCCCGTTGGGACCGGACGTATAGATCCATCCATAGGATTGGGTCCTAAAATGGTGAAGAACCGTGGGTTTGGGTCTTAGACGGGTTCAATTTTTTTTAATACCCGTGAAACCCGTCCCGCCCCGCCATACAAAACGACGTCGTTTTATTTACATTATATAGTATAATAAATTAATAATATTAATGAATAAATAAAGTATCTCTAGTGTATCAAATACATAAATCAACTAAACTATAATTGTGGAAGTAATAGCTATAAAGATTATGAAAATCTCTAAGAAAATGTAGGAAAAAAAGCATATATATACAACGGTCAACACACGGCAGAAAAAAAGGAAGAAAATGGTGTTGAATGGAGCTGAATAGCGTTGGTTATGCTTGAAAAAACTATATTTATTTTATTTAAATTTTGTCTTTTTAAGTTATGAATTAGTTATTTTTAGTTTTATATTAATTTTTATTTACTCTTGACATTTACTTTATTTATGTTTGGTTTCAATTTAAAATTTTAGGTTATTCATTTTAGTTTCTAATTATTCTCCCGTAAAACTTATAAATTATATATATAAAAAAAATAGTTTAGACGATAACGGGTTTCGACCCGTAAAGGTTGGGTCCTACTACAAACCCGCCATGGACCCGCCTATCATAAACCCGTTAAAAACCCACAAGTTTGGTTCTTCAAAATCAAGGGCGGGTTTTGATAGAACCCGCGGGTTTATGACCTGCGCACACCCCTAGGGGAGGGGGACTCGAACCCTATTGGTAAATGCTAGATACCAACTCTGATAATGAGGGTTGGTTGGTAATTTATACTTCTAATTTAACTTTTTTTAAAAGGTTGAAAGGGTTATCAAACTTTTTCATCTCACAACCCCCTAAATGAATAGTTTTGGCCTTTTGGGGGTAATTTTCTGAAAAAAAAACTGCAACATAGGAGAATATTTGGTAATATTAATAGTGTGAGGTACTTTTAATAATTAGAGTAAACTTAGGGGTGCTAAATGCAATAAACACACACAAGTACATTTATTGGGCTGAATGAGAAATACTTGGCCCAGTGAGCTGAATAATTAGCAGGCCCGCCTTTCCTATACACAGTGGTATCATTCTTTCAAAATTTCAATAAATAATAAAAAGAATCAAATTAATTATCAAAAAAAAAAAAAAAAAAAAAATCAAATTGCAGTGGGCAAATCCCTAACAATTAGGCTAAAATAAAAATTCCAGAACTCGGTGGGAAATTGCAATGGATACTCTTTTTTTTTTTTTTTTTTTTTAATCTTTTTCTTGACGGAGGAGTTCTCGAATTACCCAGCTCATTCAATGCTTCTTCCGAGGAAAACGACCGGAGAAAAAACCGATCAAGCAAAACCCCCAATCTTCATCAAAATTTTCAGCATCAGCCTCCTCAAATTCAAAAATTCCCCCCTCCGTATGGATCTCTTCCACCATCGCAGGACTTCGATTGCGTTTGAAGAGGTCAAACCACGGAGTATTAGCTACTTTCCCAAACTTTCCAGCACCACAACTTCTTTGAGGTATTTTCTCGAACACATTGTTTGCATCATTTCACCTTCTGTAGCTATTTCAGGTTGCGATCGATAACAGCTAGTGTGTGCGCTTGTTAGTTTATTGGTGTGTGTGTGTGTGTGTGTGTGTGTGGATGAAGGGATAAACCAAGCACACAAAAACATACATAGCAACAGTGAACTTTACAGCATTGCGATTCTCGTATATAACCGTATTTCGTTTTCATCTTTACAATAGAACTTATTTGCTGATATTTTGGCATGCTAACATATAGCTACTTTCTTTACCGATTACCGAAACTAATGAGAAATTCAATCATTTTGATAGGAAAGGAGAAAGTCTTCGTCTACTGCCATTGCATCCGACCAGTCGAGTGTATAATACTCATCCATCATGCTGTTGATAGAACACACAAATGTAGTTCCTTATGATCAGGTAATGATAAATAGAAGAATCATGCTTTTCTTATTATGTAAAATAATTCATTTTGCTCGACAGGTAATAAAATGGGGAAATCATTATATTATACACATTCTATGAAACCAAAAAACAGACAACTTTGAAACTCTATCTAACTAGCTAGTTTAGTTGTCCTTCTTCAAAAAATATGTCCATGCCCATGATGTTACCCGGAGGTACGAAAACGACATCATTCCACTTGAATGTTGAGCAATCCTGCAAAATATATATGACAATCAACAGTTGATGGGCACGGAAATGCAATAAACGACTAGATATTTTTGTTAAGGCCTTCTCACCTTCATTTCTTGTATTATATCTTCGAGAGCAGCAACCTAGTTACGGGCATATGAATATACATATTTATCAGGATATTTAGTCGAGCCAAACGTGGCCATAGTAATAACAACATTATCAGAATTAAGAAAACCTGAACAGTGCCTCTTTGCTTTGGTGCTTTAGTCTTAGCTGAATTACTTATAATAAAATTATCGAAAATATTCTGTATTTACTGTTATTAGCAAATGATTTATTTGTTTGATTATATGAAGAGTAATGTTATGTTGAAATTTTTTCTTGGATGACATTCATGATTCATACACATTTTCTGATTTCTGCCAAAATTGGTTTCTGCAAGTGATGATTGCAAAATCAAGGTGTGGAATTATAAATTGCTTTTATTTTATTTTGAAATGGTTTCTTCTGGGCAATATTTCAAACACTTGGTCTACAGCCGTTTATTGCATCCAACCAATCGGGTGTATGATGCTTATAATCCACCATGCTGTTGATACAACACATAAATGCAGTTTCCTTTTCCCTAATCAGGTATTTTATTGCATCGTGTTTGGTAGTTTCAAAACAGGGAAAACATTATTATATGCAATTCTATGATACGAGAACACAGACAACTATGAAACTCTATCCAACTAGCTAGATTAATTACTTGTCCTCCTTCTCAAACACCATGTCCATGATTTTACCAGGAGCTACAAATACGGCATCGTTCCACTTCGATGTTGAGCAATCCTGCAATATATATAATATATATGTATGTATGAATCGACACTTGATAGGCACATAAATTCGTTAAATGACGAAAACATTTAAAGCTTCTCACCTTCATTTCTTGTATTATATCTTCCAGAGCTGCAACCTAATGTGCATATGGGTTAGGAATATGTATATGTGTGTGTGTATGTGTGTGTGTGTGTGTGTGTGTGTGTGTGTGTGTATAAGAGGAATATAACAGTATGTGAATTAAAAACCTGAATAGTGCCTCTTTGCTTTGGTGCTTTAGCATTAGCTAGAGCCTTTTCGAGGTCCGTCTGCATAATTTATAACACAACACAGATTGAATGTCAATGTATTAATGTAGAAATATATAATATTAAAAGAGAATAAAGTGAAGTATAGTTTTTGCCCTTTCTCTTACCTTCCTTAAAAAAGCAGGACGATATTTCTGCTCCCCCTCGCCTTTAACTATCAAGCTGTCTGACTGAATCAATTTATGAAATCAATTATCAGTTTGTATGCATGTCTGAAAAAAAGGTAGGGAGGTGATCTTCGTTTTTTTAAGACATTAATTTCTCTTCTATATCAGATATTTGAAGATATAAAAAATGGGGGGAAAAACCGAGGATCGTTTAGAAAGTAGAACCTGGAATACTGGAACTCCAGCAAATACCCCATCTGAAAAACCCGCAATATGTTTCTTCTTTTCCTGTGCATATTTGATATGAAGAAATAATAGTAAAATCTAAAAAAGAAATACATTATTACTAGTAGAAGTGATTCCACACCTGTATGGCGTTTTTTACTTCGGATAACTCTGGTATCAACCTTATGGGAGCGGGGTCTCCTTCAAAATCGATGACCTATAATTCAAATAAGTGAATCGATCAATTATGAGAATTGGCAAATTGCGTAATATGCATGAGTAGTCGTAATCTTGTGTAATGATTCTGCAGGTGTACACACCTCTGTAAGTCGAGCATCAAAGATTCGAGCGTCGGGCGAGCATTCAATCCTCTCCTTAAAATTGAGAGCATCTGGCTTATTTAAGAAGTAGAATCCAATCTTTCTATCCCCAAATTCAGAAATACCTTTTATATTATCTTGTGAATCGTTTGACAGTTTATATACAGGGATCTCAGCCAAGCGGTTCTTGATTTCTGTGTTAGAGAGTGCGTAATCAGCCGCACCACCACCACCGCCACCACTAATTGGTCGACTATTATCTGAAGAAGAAGAAATAGAAGCAAACCGGTTCGGCATCGCTCGAGTAATGTTGGAGAAGTTGGTTTGGAGGCAGTTCAAGACATGACAAAGAGGAGGTTGCGAAGATTGCTCTTTTGGCTTCAAGCAGTTCATCTTTCTTCTCTGTTCCCAAAAAAACAAAACCTATACATAATATACGCACATATATTTATATTATATAATATATAATTGTTGTATTTTTTTTAATTGAGAATTGTGCTTATTTGTAGGGTTGGAAAGAAGTCCAAATCAAGTACGTGCAGAATCCCTGGTATGATTTACTTCTGTTGAATATGGCCTTTTACTTGGAAGGTGGTATTTAAGTCCTAAAAAAGATTTCAATTATATATATATATATATATATATATATATATATATATATATATATATATATTAACTGAAATATTTGGTTACTGTCTCTTGAAACATCAAAATAATTGGAACCCTAGTTAAAAGCCATGAATTTCTTCAAACTTAAACAATCCTCCGATGAAGAGAACCCCCTTCATCATGTATTCAGTAATCTCCAAACCCACTTCACCAACTTTCTTCGGATCCCTAACCCAAACCCAAACCCAAACCCGTTTTCTTCCAAACTTCCATCACAGGCAAGAACTGTCGATCAATTAGATAACATGAAAATCGATTCTTCTTCTTCTTCAAACTTGTCGGTGATCAAAGAGCGACTGAAAGATGTCCCAGTTTATAGATTGAAATCCAATCATAGGCATCCACTTGCACGTTCTGACGTGGTAGATAGGAGTGCTAATTTATTCTTTTTCAGTGAAGCTGATGCTCAGGATTCAGCGGCGGATTACAACACAGTAGAATTCAACAGGAAGCAAGGTGGCCTTCAAACCCTTAAGGTTCCACTTGCCGAGGTAGTTATTGATTAATATTCCAGAAATTATTTATATCAATTTTGTTCGATTTTTAAGACTTGTAACTATATATTAAATATTGCAAACATACACAGATTATTGAAATTGAAGAAGTAGGGTTCCATAAGGCGATGCCATCTATATGCCATTGGTTTGTGGGAGAATTTTTACCTATGTATGCTCCAGATATTGTTAATAGGTTTGTGGCAGATAAGGTTGCCTATCCACATTTTTATATTAGGTTGGTCCCGGATAAATCTGAAGTTAAAAATGCCCTTCAGGTCAGCACCATATATTCGACTACGAACACACACACACGCGCGCGCATGGCATGTTTCTGTTGAATTTGGTTGATAACTAAGATGGATTTTATTTTATTTATTCCCTTTATTCCCTACAGGAAAGACAGAAAGCTGGTTTTCATGGTGACACCTTTACTGGGGTTCCCGTCTTCCAGGTTCAGTTTACTAAATTAGTCATTTGCTCTTTCATTCCATATTTTCCGTCACTTTGAAATTTTCGATACGTTCTTATCCGAAATAGCTTTTACGAGAAACAAAGATAATATCGTATTCCAACCCTAGCTGAACATATATACACACACGCAAAAAAAAAAAACGTTTAATAGTAATTAAGTCTCTTATATGGGATGCAGTCAGATGCTTTAAAGGTGAGAGTCGATGGAAGCCCAAATAACCTTTCGCCTGCTTTCTTTCGAAAGGTAAATTAGTATATATTTTCTAGTGCCATATGTATTTTCATATGTATTATATCATCGCCCATCTTCCTTTTATAATGTGCAGGTGGATCTAGAAAACGCCCTACGTGGCAAAAAGCAAACAAATCACATTGATGAAAAATCAGATATTATTCAGGTTCCAAGTTTGTCTCAATTAAAATGTTGCATGGGGTTTAATCTTAATTAATACACCTATAATTAACGAAACTCATCATGAGGTTTGATTGCGATTATAGACTAACTATAGTTACAATACACTGTGTTGTGTTGTAGGTGACTGCTCTTGAAGATATAATACAAGAGATGAAGGTGTGGAAACTTTCGACGACTTTGCTTTCCATTTCTCTTCCATTCGACCGTCTAATTACGTATTTCATGAACAAGGTTATCTCGTAGTAATTAAGCAAATTGAGCAAAAGTAATGATATATATATTTTTCTTTTGGCAGGATTGCTCAACGTCCAAGTGGAACAATGTTATCCTCGTACCTCCCGGTGGAAAATCCTCGTAAATTTTTATTTACAATTCAATACTGGGAACAACTTATTATGTCTTTCTATACTACTATTAGTACTATATTTATTTACTTCTCCAAATTAATTTCATTAAATAATAATATTTTCTCCCAATAAAAAAATACATAAAATGATATTAAGTATTAACAGAATACATCACACTACTTATTCTCTTCTCAATAAAGTATCCCAACACATTTAGTTTCCAATAAAATGACAAATCTACCCTTGAGAGTCAAACAAAGCACCCATCAAATCAATAACTGAATTGAAGCAACATGCATCCTACATATGTTACGCAACAAACGCAATTTATACGTAGCTTTAATTTTTGACGGTGCGAAATAAAAAAAGTAATGTGGTTAGAATTAAAACTGGCGAGAAGAAGAAGGACCAAAACCAAAATATCGATCAAAAGAGGGACCGGAAAACAAAAAAGAAATATTATTATTTCTGTACATTGGTGGTGACAGCTAACAAGAAATGACACATTCTTAAATAACTTTATGAGCCCCTGCAACCCCTTTTCACAAATTTGGTAAGCCTTTCCTTTTTAGGCTAACGTATATGGTCCCTCATATTATTCAAATTAAACCCCTCTTCTTTCATTCTTCTCTATTAACCATCCATCCATCCATCCATCCAAACCTTCAGAATCTTTATCACCATTTGTAGAGAGAGAAACAAAAAAAATAGAGAGAGAGAGAGAGTTCTAGAGAGAGAGAGAAGGTAGGAAAATGGCGCGTGGGAAGATACAGATAAAGAGAATAGAGAACCAAACAAACAGGCAGGTGACGTATTCAAAGAGAAGAAATGGTCTGTTCAAGAAAGCCCATGAGCTTACTGTTCTTTGTGATGCCAAGGTTTCCATTCTCATGATTTCCAGTACTCAGAAACTCCATGAATACATCAGCCCCTCCATCACGTCAGTTTCTTATTTATTACCACTTAGCTTTCTCTCTCTAGCTACAATATTTGAGCTTCTACTTAATTTTGTTTATTTTTTTTTTATGCAGGACAAAACAGATGTTTGATCAATATCAGAAGGCTGTTGGAGTTGATGTTTGGAATACCCACTACGAGGTTTTTCCTTATAAATTAATTATTTCTTTTTTATTTTAATTCTTACGTGGAAATTCTGAAAAAAATAATTATGCAGAGGATGCAAGAACACTTGAAGAAACTCAAGGATGTTAACAGGAATCTGAGGACTGAAATTAGGTCTATATTTATTACATTTATTTATTTATTTATTTTGCTTGATTTATTATTATTACTATATATATATATGTGAGTAATTTTCAGGCAAAGGATTGGAGAAAGCTTGAACGATCTGGGCTACGAACAAATGGTTAATCTTATCGAAGAGATCGATAACTCTCTCACCATCATTCGCGAAAAAAAGGTTTTTTTTCTTTTATTTTTTTTTTATTATTCTCTCTTTTAGGGTTTTCAGATCTGCTGTTAATTTATATTTACTGAACAAAATTTATTTTAATTAAGTGGTCATTAACGTAAAAATAACATTCACAATTAAGCAAATTAATTTAAACTTGCAACAGTACAAAGCTATCAGCAGCCAGATCGATACCAGCAAAAAGAAGGTATAAATTAATACATTGTTTGTAGCTCAATAAATTAAATTTTTCTTTGATCGTTTAATTGTTCTTAATTAATTTTGTTTGCAGTTAAGGAATGTTGAAGAAATAAACAGGAACCTAGTGCTTGAATTTGTAAGATTTTTTTTCTCTCTCTCTCTCTATATATCAAATCTTGTAATAATTCATTACTTAATTAACACTAATTATAGTATATATATGTACTTAAATTAAATGATATTCATATAATGATTGGTACTAGGATGCAAGACAAGAAGACCCACACTATGGATTAGTTGAAAATGAAGGTGATTATAATTCTCTTCTCGGATTTCCAAACGGAGGTCCGAGAATTATCGCCCTCCGCCTCCCCCATAACCACCACCCGCACCACCATCACCACCACCACCACCCCGGCCTTCATAGTGGCGGCGGAGGCTCCGATCTGACCACATTTGCTCTGCTTGAGTGAATATTATGTCTCCTAATTAATTTGTCTGATTGACTAGTCAACTATGAACAAATTAGGTCTTTTGAGTTTTTTTTTATGTAAGGTCTTTTGAGTTATTACTATATGTTGTATGAAAACAAAAAACTACTATGTTTGCTAGTGTTATTTTCTGTTTTTTTTTTAGGTATGTATGATATGGATAGCTAGTTATGAATCTATCTATTAATTAATTATTATCTGCGGAAATATTAGTAATGTTTGTACGTTTCATTTTTATGAAGTACTAATTGGTTTGGAATTTGGATTTATGACGTTGTGAATTGAATCTATATGAGATGTATATGATTTTATTTATTTATTTTTTATTTTTTTTCACGGCTATTATTTACTTAAAAAGTGCATAATATGAATTAACATACTAAAATTGGTATTACATGGGTTTATAAATTAAGAGTGGTGCTATTTCCACCCCAAATTATCTCAATTCACCACCAAATATTATAAAATGTCATAAATACCCCTCAAATTTTATAATCGACCACCCTTTCTTATATTAACTTAATCCTCAAGTGTTCTAACTTATTACTATTTCTATTTTTATTTTATTAATTTTTTTTATTAATTTTTTTTTATTTCTTAAAGTGAAATATTTATTACAAGATATTTAAACTTTCATATCAGATGACCAACATATTATGTAATCTTTTTTTAGGAAACGAAATTATATTAAGTCAAACTGATTCTGGAGGAAGTTCATGACCTTCCATACAAGCAATCTTAATTTATTTCTCAAAAAACGTGAATTCCTGCTCTTTTTGACCTTCGAAAATATTTTTCTCTGACGAAAGTGTTATTCACTTAAGGTGGAGAGGATGAGATTTTCAGTGAAAAGGGTGGGATTTTTTTATATATTTTAATTAGTTTAGTGGTATATGGTATATAAATTTGAAAAAAATGTAGGTGAAAGAAGAAAAAATAGGTAAAATTGGAAATCTATTTAATTTGGTGGTGAAATACGATTTTTTTAGGGTGGAAATAGCACATCTCTAAATTAATTAAAATAACTAAAATCAACAATCATAATTCAGGAAAAAGTAAAATTAAATCAACCATCAGAAATTCAGAATTCAAAGTTTATAGAAAATAGGCCCAAAATATGAATGGGCTTTATTAAGTGATTGGGCTATGTAAAAAGTCCACTTAAAGATTCAATAGCCCACCCAATGTAAACATTCACGTCATCTAGGGTGAAAATCGGACAATTTAGATCGAAAATGACTTTTTTGGAAAATTTCTAAATTTTTTCAGAAGTAAAAATTGGGTTACGATTTCCGATCCAAAAAAATGGAATGCAAAAATTCATTCCCATTTCGAAATGTCTCGAAATCGGCGGAATTTTAGAAATTTCATTAGTTTACAATCAATCTCTTGTTCCAAATTTCCAGCTTATCAATTCGAATCTTACAGAAAATACGATTTTTAACGTAAGTACATCGGATTTTTACAATTAAATAATTTCGTGTGATTTAGTGTAGGCAAACATGCATGTTTGTTAGTACTTTTTAAATAAATGTACTTATAAAATATTTATATATAAAAAAAAAAAGAATGATAATAATTGCAATTAAAATAATGGAAGATATTGTTGGATGAGGAAACAATAGTACAATAATTTTGCTGTCTTCCTTAGAAAAAATAGAAAATCAGGGCAGATGAAATGCATACGAATAAGAGTTGGAGGATCGAATGAATATATACATATATATTATGTTCTTACATTCATAGTTCATTATACTATGATACCGACATCTCATATGTAATCCACCTTTTATTTCATCTTCAACATTTAAATAATTAAATCCTATGAATATTATTTATTTAATAAACAAAATATCAATAATATCATGCAAATCCTTGGCACAATAAAGTGACTGTTTGTCTTCTTGTGTAATTAATTAGCTGGCACATTATTCACTTAAGAAAAAAAATTATATCTTTTACATGTATTGATTAGTAAACTAATGACCCTTAATTACATTTCTTTGCAGGAAAATTAATGAAGACCCTAAAAAAATAAATGTTATATACATATAATAAATAGCAGCATGTTATATAATAATGAATTATCCACACATTTTATAGCTTATCTTTGCATATACTTGTTGCAATTCAATATACCAAATTGTCCAGCATTTTTTTTGTCTCCCTCAAGTCAAACTTACCTTCGAGATTTTAAGCACAGGAATCTCAGATTTTGAATGTGGGGGCAGACAGCTTATGGGTTGCCAATATATTATGTCCGATAATTCGCATGTTTATCTATTTCATATTAAGACATACTTTAATTTCGGCTTAATTCCACTTTGCACGTTTGAAATGTAATTTTTTGGAACTTTGAAAAAAATAATAGTATTTTACATCGTTGAAACACAATGAATCATTCACAATGTACATTGAATTGAATATTTAAAATTTAATGAGGGTAATTTTATTTCTTTTTATTCCATGTAAAATTAATAACAAAATGGTCCTCCGTGTTCTCGAAAAACACATTTGGTCCCGTCCTTTTTAAAAAAAATCAATTATTTTAATCATTTCCGTCAATTTTCCGTTAAAACTAACGGAATCAAGCGTGTTACATACATGACTTGCTTAAGTAACGGACTAACGGCAAATTGATGGAAATGACCAAAAATGTTAAATTATTGGAACATGAGGGACCAAATGTGTATTTTGTGAACATGAGTGGCCAAATATGGAATAGATGTAAACTTGAGGGGTGAAAACTGTGAAAAATAAAATCGAGAGAAATAGAGCCCTAATTGAGATTAAGGGTTGAAGATGGTCAAATAGTCAAAACACGGTTATCACTAATCACATGTACGGAAACGTGTGTTGATCAAATGTTGTCACCATGTTAATCTTATCGAACTCCTAAATAAATCTAATTAGCATCGCTAATACAAAATTAATACTTTAGCGTTATTACATCATGCATGACATTATTTTGCAAAAGGACAAGCTGTATTAAAAAATCACATATATATATTAAAATATGGGTATGTGATTTTGCCTTAGATCTCCCAATTATTTATTTCCACCTGTTCGAGAAACAATTTTTTATTTATTTATTATTATAATATTAAAATAGAATAAAAAGGTACCATGTTGCTCAAACGTTAGAACATCGGCAGTCTTGCGTCGTGTGAAAACTCTCGTTGACCCCACCATCAATTTTAATTAACTTAATTAATCACTCTCTGTGTAGTGATTTGCTGGTTTCCAGCACATAATTGCATTAAATCAATACTAATCATAGCTAATATATTATTTTAATAATACCAAATTGTACAACGACGGGGGATTAAGTGACAATTAAGAGTTAATCCCACCCTTTATTTCTTAAGCCGAAAATGAATAAATTAGAAAAATAAGAGGGTTCTAACTTTTAACTATAAGACTTTTGGTTAAATAAGTTTTATTTTTTCTATATATTTTTCATTTAAAATTATAGACGACGAGTTCGATTTAGAAAATGTTGACAAGTAATTTAAACTCGGATCAAAAGTAAGTTCAGCCTATAGCTAGGGTAGACTCAAACCCCTACTCAACTACAAATTATTCGATCATATTATACACATATTATTATTTAACCAATCCAATTTTTATTATTTAGCTCACCTAAAATTCAAATTATACAAAAAAAAGTCGTAAATTTTTCTCTCTTCCTAACTAATCCAAGAAAAAAGTCCAATTTTTTTTTTTTTTTTTTTTTTTTTTACAAGAGCATTGCTTCCAAACCCCCAAAATTGAAACTGATCACATGTAGTAAATTTCTGGATAAACAAAAGTATTGATTTTGAAATGTTTTGGTCAAATATATCTCAACCAATGAAATCTCAACAAGAGGATAAATAAAAAGAATTGATAATCAAATATTAATCACCTTAAGGGGAAACATATTCTATGATGGTGTGATTTAAGTATACTTTAATGGGGCCATGATATTAATTTTCAGACAGACTCAATTATATTATTAATAAATAAATAAAAGTGGGTGGCAACACTTTAACATTATTTTAAAGCCAGGTTAGAGGGGTGTGTTAGAGTTTGTATGGTTGATGGCCACTTTTATTTACTTTAGCAATAATAAATAAATATACCACTACAGTAATCCTAGTCTTTAATTTCTTGCCCCATTCGTACTTTATCATAAATTCCCAATTTGTATCATTAAAGTTTTCACTTAGGAAAATAATTCAACCTGTAAAACACGTTATATGTAGGTCAAACATAACTTAACCGTATCCAAACTCCAAAGAATATTCCGTTTGTTATGAGTTTATAACAACTCGTTATAGTATCAAATTTAATTTAATTTTCTAGATTTTGTGGAATATTTTTTAATTTATACTCGTTTTGTGCAAAAATGCAGTTTCTGATACACCGCAATATGATATTTACAAGCCAAGACACATGAGATAAACGGTACAAACTGAAGAATATTCTATATCTAGAAGATTTCATTAAATATAACACCACAAAGTTGAACATGTAAGAATATTCATAGTTGAGAAGAGAGTTTTTAATTACCCAAACAAGATAAATTTTTTTTTTCGTAATTTAACTTTTTTTAATTTGAACTCGAGTCAGTTGACTTTGCAATTTTTTACTCCATCAACTATATCACTTCCTGCTATGCATAACTAACTGTAATTGGTTTAACTAAATATGAAACACAAAATGCTGATATATAAGATCAAATTATTTAATTACTTGATTCGAAATTCAGTGTTAAACTTTTCGAACTCGGTTTGTTAACACAACGATATTTAAACCAATATTAGTTTTTATTTATAAAATGTCAAAATTCCGGCCAGGTTCTTTACAATAAGAAAAAAGTAAAAAGACATAAATTTATAAATATTAAATAAAAATGAACTCGAGTAAATAGAGTATTCAAATAAACAAAAACAAAACCCCCCCCTATCCATCTTCCTCCATGTATATACTATATATATACATATATCATCCTCTACCATTTTCTATCTATCTTGCCAATTTCAACGCCTCCCTCTCCCCCACCTACTCTTCTTACTTTTCTCCCTCTTCTGAACAAGAAAAAAAACAAATATACATACAGAACAACTGATTATACATACACATCCAATGAAGATCCAATGTGATGTATGCGAAAAAGACGAAGCATCGGTATTCTGCGTGGCCGATGAAGCCTCCCTCTGCGCCACCTGCGACCACCGCGTCCACCATGCTAACAAACTCGCCGGAAAACACCAGCGCTTCACCCTCCACCACCCCTCTCCTAAACAATCCCCTCCACTATGTGACATATGCCAGGTACTAATCAATAATGCATTTATTTAAATTAATTACAATTAGTCCAACTTTCTTGATATGTATTAAGACATAATTAAACTAATTAATTTCTTTGTTTTTTAATTAATATAGGAGAGAAAGGCTTTGTTGTTCTGCCAGCAAGATAGAGCAATTCTTTGCCGGGAGTGTGACATTCCGATACACAATGCAAACGAGCACACTAAAAAACATACCAGATTTCTTCTCACCGGAGTCAAACTTTCCGCTACTTGTACCCTTTATTCCGAATCATACCCGACGGAATCAGCATCTTCTAGTTTGACCAACAGCAGCGCTGTTTCGAATGTCAACGCCCGAGATTCGAACTGTACACCTTCTAATGCAAAGGGTGCAACAGTTCAAAGCAGACCACAAGAACCCTGTGCAGACAAAACCAATGTTGTTGATCAATTGAATATGAATATGAGTATGAGTGTGAGTATGAGTAATGGATCAATAATCCCGGCAAGCAGCATTTCAGAGTACTTGATCGAGACGTTGCCCGGGTGGCACGTGGAGGATTTTCTTGATTCTCCATCTCCTTCTCCATATGCTTTCTGCAAGGTAACTAACTATTTTATATACTAGATTACAATACTAATTATACCTAATTATTTATCTTTTTTTTTCAAGATATATTAATTATTTTGTGATTTTTTTTGCAGAGTGGAGAGAATGATTTGGTGTCGCCGTTTTGGAATGATGATGTTCATCAGATCAATAATAACAGCAGAGAGAGAATGGGATTTTGGGTCCCGCAAGCGCCGCCACCGTTGCATAATAATCAGTCTATAGATCTGGCATTTGGATTACCAAATAATGGATTTAGACAGCTACAACAACAGTCCGATGAATTTATAAATTGTAATAACACGACGAAATCTTCTACTAGAAAAAGAAGTGACGACAACTCATTTGCCGTTCCACAGATCAGCCCTCCACCTTCGAACAACACTAATAAGAAATCAAGAACTTTCTGGTAGTTCATGGAGAGGCAGATTTTTTTTTTCTTTTTTTTTTCTTTTTTTATGGATTCCATTTTTGGTTTTCTTGTTTTAGTTTGATATATTTCTTTCTCGTTTCCCAATTCATCGTGCCCTTTCTTTTTGCATCCCATGTAGCCGGTGGTTGCATGAATGTTTTTGTCTGTAAATATCTTGTGTTGAAAAAAAAAAAAAGACAGCTGCTTCTAGAAATCAAGGAAAGTACGATGATTTACATTATTAGTCTGGTACAAAGCGTACAATCCAATCACAACCCACAAGGTCACTTGTTTTCGGACACAAACACACACACACACATCCACATTGGTGTGTGTAGATCAAACCATAAAAAATTATCCGGTGTAACCGTCACCGTGTTTTTGATCCGATATGCGGAAGTGACGGTTTCAAAAGGTAGTAATCCTTTCCCATTTTTTTTTTCTTATTTCGGAACTGACTCGAAATATTCGACGACAGAAATTGATGTTGAATTGAAATATCATGTGTGCTCATATTCATCAACATGTAAACCTAATTAGGAATTAACTCTATCAAGATCTGCATTTGTTCTCCCCTTGTGAAAACAAATATATAAATAAATAAACTAACAATAACATAGAGTATTTGGTATATCACCTTGATTATTAAAGTCAGTCAAATCAGAGGTGTTATCTTTTTCTTTAGTTTAAACCATGGTTCTTTTTCCAAGATTTGTTTCTTTAACTTATCGCACATCTTACATCTTAATTTGATTCCTTTTTATCTCTTCACATAATGGATATAGTTTAGTACATATATTAAAATGTATACAAATACAAAAAAGATTCAAAAAAATTGTTAATTCGAAAAATGAAGAAAAAATGTTGATCTAATAATTAAAGAAAAGCCACAAGGAGAGACAAAAGGGCATCGTAATTTTCGAGAAAATTACAAATTTTTAACATTTTTTGTCATTTCCGTCAATTTAACGTTGGTTCGTCAACTAAGGCAGTCACGGGGCACACGTTTGAATCTGTTAGTACTAACGGAAATTACTAAAAAATGTTGAATTTTTGAAACATGAAAAAGTAAATGTGTTTTTTATGTACACGGATGACCAAATGTGAAATCCGTGCAAACTTGAGGGATGAAAATTAAAACTGTGTTTTTCCAAATTATTTTCTTTAATTTTTTTTTCCTTAAGAATTTAAAGAGGTTTAGATATTTTCCGACATCGTCTTTTAGGAGAATATACTTTCAAAATCAGTGTGTGACCTAATTCTTACAAGTTGAAAATATCAAAGATTCATCCAATCAGAAAGTTTTGCTTCTGATGAAGAAGCATTAAATTCTACAAGTTGCACAGACAGAGCGCACATGAATCACATGGAAAAAATTTAATAAAATTATTCACAAGTGTACAATTGCTTTTAACAACTGGACTTCTTACAAGTTACAACAGAGTTAAATTCGTCCTCTTCAGAATTGATTTATAGGCAACATGTAACTTGTTTACTATATACTTTTAGCCAAAACAAATTCATCACCATTGATTTTTATCGAACTTTAAAAGTTGAAGTTAATTAACTCAAAAATTCGTCGAATCGAGCTTGCAACAACATGCACTGACCTCATTCATACAGCAAGACGGAACTCCAAGGTTTAAAAAAACATACCACAAATGAATTTAAGGATTCGCAGTTAGAATACTTGAGCCACTTCAGTTGCAGGAATACGTTTCCGTCTAACAATAAACCCGTAAGGAAACCACCCAGCTTCGCCTTTGCACTCGCCTTCTGCCCATCCATCGTTCCTCACCTACAACAAATTAAAAAACACAGCTATATTTCACAAGAATAATTATCAAGAAAAATAAATAAAAAGACATAATGAATTGTGGAAATTAGTCAAAGAATAAAAGAATATGCCTCTCGAACGACGATATAATCACCAACTGCTAATGTCAACTCAGCATCAGATTCCGCTCGATACGGATGAATGACCTTCAATAATGATAGACGACTTCATCATCAATCAAAAAATCGTAACTAGAACATGAAAAAAACTAAGTATTGAAAATAAATAATAATACCTCCCCCAAGAAGTAACCCAAGCCATCAGTTGATCCTTCATATGAGCCAGCTGGAGAAGTAGTAGTTTCGCCACGTTGGCGCTCAGACAACATCTGCTTTTTTCCGATACTAAATTAGTTATTATTTATTAAGTAAAGTAAAACGTGCGAGAGATTTATTTTTAAGGTAAGATGGTGGCACCACCTCCAATTCAAGCTTATCGAGTATCTGTAGTACACGTTGATGATATGCTCGCTCGGCTTCAACCTTCAACGAAGAAAAACTTATGAAGTAAGCAAAAATTGCGAAACGCCAATTCTTAAGGTGTAGAAAATAGAAAGAAACGTGAAATAAATTACCATGGCTATTAGTCGGTGGAGAGTCAACCTTTGCTGTTGACTTTCCACAGCAGCCATTGCAGCAGATGCCTCTTTACCCAAGGTCAACATGTTTGACTTAAGCTCGTAAAGCTTCCTTTCTGCAGCTTCAAGCTTTAACATGTTTTCTGAATTGATGTTCGTGTCCCTTGCTCTAGATTGACATCTGGCAACGTCAATGGCCTGTTTGGATCGACAAAGAAGACCAAAAAACGAATTAAATACGGATTTGCAATTTTTTTGATAGAAGGAATGTTTGGTATTCGACTCAACTTAAGTTGGTACCTGAGATTCCGTCTCTTGTCTCACTCTATCATATCTCTTGGCAAGACGACGAGCATCCTCTAATGGAGATCTGACTATCATATCCCGTAGCGGCTCTGTAACCTAGATTAGGGTGTAATTAAATCAAAATTACATAAACGGAAAATATAGCTTAGTAGATAATGTACATAATGCGAAGTAATCTTGATCTCAAATAACTTTGTCAAAAATTTATCCAACATGTACTATTCATTGTAATTTTCATCAACTTACGACGTTCATCAAGCCAATTAAATATGTTTACGATAAACGAATTAGCGCAAAAACCTGTGTTCGAAGCAGTTTCAGCAGATTTTCGTGCTCTTTTTCGATTTGAGCACGAGCTTTACTATAGGTAAGTGCGACATTAGATAAAGTGTTGCCACTAGTACATGTATTTTCACTGCCATATTTTTGGCCATCTTCAGACAACCTCGTACCTGTATATATATATACAAAAATTAAAATATTTTGTTTCTGTTTTTTTGTTTTGTATATGTTAGAAGTTAATGTAAACAACATACCAATCTCAATCTGCTTGGATCCAGTTACAATTAAGCCTTCTATACCACGCACAATGTCTCTTTGAAAATGCTGATAAGGAACAAAAACAAAGAACACTGAATATATAAACAGAGCATATATACATACATATATCTATATATATCTTAGGGTAAATATGATGGGATAACCTTGGCAGCACGAGTAGATATGCATAGCTTCTCGAGTTTATCACTCTGTTGGATTTCAGTTTCACACGATTCAACATTGTCTGAACCGCCAACAAATTGTTTGAGAACATCCTATTAGACAATTTGGGCGTAAAATCGAATTAAAAATATTTTCTCCAAACAAAACTAGCTCATGACTAAAATTAGTGATATGAATCATTAACCACGAATTCATAATCTGTTTTTTAACTGCGATTTCAACTTGTTTGAAGTATTCTTAAATTATGCCATCTCTCGGTTGACGAAACATAAACGTAATTTCGTGAGGAAATGATTACTACAGAACCACAAACGTAAATCAGAATGTAAATGAAAATTAGGGCTTCCAAATTGCAATACGTGTGTGTGTGTGTGTGTGAGAGAGAGAGAGATGAAAGAGACTGAGAGAGTACTTGCTGTTGCTTGGCGACTTGTTCTCTGAGCTTTGATGCTTGCTTTCTGATGGCTTCCATTTCATTACACAGAGAGAGAGAGAGAGAGAGAGAGAGAGAGAGAGAGAGCGAGAGAGATTTTCAAGTTTCGAGTAATCGAGTTCGAAACGTTGTGGGGGCAACGGTTCGAGGTTTTGAATTTGTTCGGAGCTGCTGCACCAGTCCGTAGTCCGTACTATGACTATCTATATATTGATCATTGACCAGCTTTTTCGGTTTCTGTGGCGCGTGTCTCTCATTCGCTGAACATATATTCTTGTGTTTAGTTATGTTTAGTCCTTAATCACAATCAAGGGTATTGAGAAGGGGTTACTTAAATAATAACACAGCAATTAGAGATTATTGTTAGGTTATTCCTGCATGCAATCATAACTCATAATTGCAACTATGCCCTTTCTGCACATGAATATGAGAAGCCAACCCCCTCGACAACATCATTGATTCAATTGCACACCCAATTGAACCCACTTGGGCCATCACTCAACATACCTATCTATCATTTTTGCATGCAATATATATAATCCCATCACTAACTAAAACTTCAACTACACTTCAAACATCGAACTCAACAATCATTCAATCATGGTTACCAAACAACAAAACAAACAAATCAAAACATAAAATTCCGACAACAAATAAAAAGCTTTAAACACAACAAAAAAAAGTATTACAATGAAAAATGTTTAACTTTTTTTTTATTAACGTTTGCAATGAGCTTTGCACATGTGCCTGCAATCATAAAAACAAGGCCCTCCACAATGTAATGGACAATCCAATCTCATGCCTTTACACCTTCCTTTGACAACACATTGTGCAAATTCCCCTTTCTTGAAGTCCTCAACTGCAAATTCTCTCTTCCTCTGCAAATTATGTCCTCTTTTCCCTTCTGGATTGCTGTTGCAACCCCACCGCCACGATGTGCTACCGCCACCTCCTCCTCCCCACCCCCACCCTCCACCACTGTTGCCGCCGCCTCCTCCTCCACCCCACCCCCACCCAACTCTGCCTCCACCGCCAGCCCCTCCGTTACTATTTACCACTACTTCATTGCTATTAATTTCTTCCACGTTCGTAGAAGCAACGGTGTTGACTTCTTCTTCACCTGTCGATCCGACTATTGCCAGAGAAAAAAACACAACCACCAGACACAAGTTTTTCCCCATTTGACTTGACTGTGTGTTGTGTTGTGTTCTTTCCGTAGTTTATGTCATCAATTTATAACCAACTTCTTTGAATATAAAATACGAATATAACAAATATTTAAAAGTATAGATACAACTAGATTAGATTATGCCCTAGATTTGTTCAGTAACAAGGAAGCTAGCAGTAAACTAACAGAAACAAAGAATTTAAAAAAAAAAAAAAACAGAGATTTCTTCGATTTCACTTTTGTCCCCACCAACGTATAGTTGCAATAGTTAATGCTTGGAAAGAGAAGGATTTTATATATATGGAGACAATCATCAAATCCACCAATACAAAATCAAAAAGAAATCGCTACTGTAATAATGTATTGTAATTTGCCAATGACAAAAATAAACGCTCGTGATCTGTTTCTGCTTTCAGCCTTTAAGAACTTATTTTATTTCATATAATTCTATTCCATCACTCTATTCTATAGCACGAAAGTCGAGGTAATCATCGAAAGAGTAACGAAGAAGAGTGATTGGTTGGACTTCCTAACAAAGAAATTTTGTACAGAAGAGTGTTCATAACTCACAAGTCTTAATATTGTGTAATTTTTAAGTATTAAGAGTTTTGTTTCTCTGATTGTGTGTGATTTTTAAGGATTAAAAGTTTCGTTTTTCTGATCGTGTGTGACTCGAAAGAAATACGTACGAGCAAATGAGTAAAAGCCAGTGAGATGAAAGAATCAAATCAAATAATCGACAAATATGTAGATAAACACAGTACAAACTTAATGAATCATCAATACAGATTTACACCGATTATAGATAAGAGATTTGAATACCTCATCAAGAAGTCAGAGAAAGCAACTGCAACAACAATGGACACCCCCTCTACACTGAAATGATAAAACAAGAAACGGAAAAAAGAATCCCGGGTCAAAATAAACTTCCAAAAGGGTTTATTCTACAATGCACAAAAGCCCCTCCTAAAAAAAAACACTCCACACGAGTTATAATATAAGTAATAATTCACACCGAACGACTAAATTTCAATTTCCATATAATTACGATTTTGAACATGACAAGCTAGGAGCCACCGGCAGATGAGCCTTTAGAACCAAACCACAGGCATTTATCTTTCACGGCTTCTGTCTCGTTTGCGTATTCTTTAAATCTGTACTCGTCCAGCTTGCAAGAAGCAGGCACTTTTCCTTCAGAGTAACACTGACTGCACAAGCTCAAGTGCGATTTCATCTCTTTGAAGCGGGACCCAATGATTGGATATCGGCAAGTAGCACAAATATGTCTGCCATGGCGAGTCCTATCCCCATTTTCGAGCTTCAATAGAGTCGAAATTATACCAAACCCCCATTCTTGATCATCAAACATGGCAACAAATTCTGTTACAGAAACCAAAGAGTCATCTGTTTCTCCATGAATTTCGAGCATCTCACTAATCCCGTGTGAAGGAATGTAGATCGCCCTCAACAGTTTGATGTATTTCTGAGCATCGGATTTCTTTATCTGCATGCTGCCTTCATTGACAGGTCGCCATAAAAGTGATTCGTACGCAATCTGCTTTCGCCTGTCTGAAGAACCACCACATAGCGGAGCAAGAACAGCAAAAAACATGCCTAAATCGATTCGGCCAAAATCAGATTCATCCAACACAGAGAGGATTTTCTGGTTTATAGCTTTGACAGATCCTACAAAGGTTTCGGGTTTCAAGAAATTGAGTAACTTGCAAATAATAACTTCGAGCGAAGCCTTGCGTATTGACTTTTCGGGTTCGCCAATCCCTGAATAGGAGACTGGAACATCCGATTCACTCATTTCTTTCTTTATTAGTTCAACATCGCACCGATTCAATCTTGTGATCCTCTGAAAGGCTCTAATATCAAGAGCAACAGCTAGTTCCGGCCTCAGCGTAGTTTTCTGGCCCACAACCTTAAATTTCGAGGGCTCTACGGTAATGAAAGCCGCCTCGCCGTTGCCACTACCGTTCCCCCTCAACTTTCTCTTTTGAAGCTGCTTCAAGTGTGATATAGCATCGTGCAATTCGACCCTGTTTGTCATTTTCAACGCTTCTTTCAAAGCCTTCTTAGCTTCCTCAGTTTCTCCAGCTCCTAACAAAGAGACAGCCTTGTTCAGTTGCGCCCTCCAATGGTTCGGCCACACGCTCAAAACCCTAGTATACATCTCCGAAGCCCTCTGGTACCTGCCCATGTCCATATAAAGCCCTCCCAAATTATACAGAGCATCCACATGGCCAGGTTTTAGATCAATCGCCTTCTGAAACTCCTTGATTGCATTCTCGTCATCGCCCATAGCATGCAACGCAGAAGCCAAATCACAATGGGCATCCGCATAATCGTTCTTCATAAATATGGCCTCCTCTAACGCCTTGACAGCCGCCTTATACTCCCCGACACCAAACAGAGCACTGCCCAAAAGCTTCAGTGCCCTAAAATGAGTGGGGCACAAAATAGCAGCCTCCCGATAATGCTCACAAGCACTGAGAACCATGCCTTCCCCTTCGAGTGCAATCCCGAGATTCACATGAATCTGAGGCAATAAATACGCCCATTGATTCCCACCTGCCTCTGCCGCCTCTAACGCGAGCAGAAACTCCGCTTTGGCCTCGTTATGCCTCCCGAGCACATACAAACAATTCCCAGCCCTGAAATGCGGTTTCACATCAAATGGAGTCAGTTCACAAGCCCTCTTAAAACTCACCAATCCCTCCTTAAATAGATAATGCTCATACAACACACGACCGATGGCCATTTGCCCGTCAAAAGCTTCGGGTCTTGATCTTGCCCTATCTGCCCTAGACCTCAAAACACCCAACTCCTTCACAAAAGCTGCATAATCGGGACCCGACTCATCCCAAATTACTCTCTTGTCTGAAATCTCGCTCGACGGGCCCAGCTCTCTAGACCAACCAGGATCGGAGAAAACATCTGAGTTGTCATTCTTGATCTTCCCATCTTTCATCTGTTTCGTTTTCAACCTTTTAATTAAAACCTCCAAGTCATCAACAAGCTTCCAAGTATCATCGAACACAATGCCATGGTTCGGGGAAGCAGCCCACGCGGCCGTACGCAGCTTCTTGTGGGGTTCCATTACACGCTCGTCTGCAACAACAGATGAGGAAGAGGCCGCCTCTTCGGAGGCATGTGAAATTCCATTTTTGTCCTCCAATGGTTTGAGCTCGAGGCCAAGGGCGTCGAAATCTCGATCCACGTCACCGGCCCCGTCGTCGTAGGTGCGGAGTAGGCCGTCAAAGGTGAGGCCTTTCTCGCCGTCGATGAAATCTCCGTAAGTACGGAAAACCTCGTCGAGTATTGCACTGATTTGCTCGACGCTGAATTTAACCCTAGGGTTGACGGCCACCACCAAAGCCGCCATCTCATCCCGGCTCAGACCGCCATCCCGGTTCGTGTCGAATTGCTGGAATATCCTCTTCACTTTCTCCGATCTGCTCCCTCTAGTCGTCATATTTCGATTTCACCCTGAGTTCCAGTCCGTTCTAGGGTTTTGAATTGGAAATGCGGGACTGAATTCGAGATTTTTGCAATAAGGTGTTTGGTAATTTTGGGGGAAATTGAAATCCTGGATAAAAAAGGTAACCTAAACCAGAAGCTTCATTTCCAATTGCTCGCC